GGGGGGGGGGGGGGGGGAAGAACATATCAAAAACATTATAAAGTGCCTTCCCACTCCCCCCCCCCATTCGTACCTGTCAACTGTCTGCATGCTGGAGAACTGTTGGAGGAATCCTCCCTCCAATTCATCAACCTCCATTTTCAACCTAAACAAGATATTCAATAAATACTGTACAAAATAAAATCCAAATGTTGGTTTAAAAGTAAAAATCTGTAAGGTCTAGGTCTTTATCCTTCAATTGTTATCTTACTTTTACTTGTGTTTCGTAGAAATGACTTTAGCTAGTTTCGACCCGCTGGCCGATTCTACATATCTACAGTTATCTTAAATGCATGTCAATGACATTAAATTTTCCCAATTCTAGTTTTTCCAGTGTTATGAAGAATCAGCTGTAAGTGTACGAGGAACTACGCAACAAAATTTGGTTTGGTGCAGATATCAGGCTTACCAAACTGATAAAGTGGAAAAATAACAAAATCTTATAAATGTAATAATAACTATCTAAAGAATTTAAAACACTGTTATTTTCATTCGCAGTGTTATAAAGTTTTGGGACAGAAATGATCTCTTTATCGAGTAGGTTCAAGCCTTTTGAGATTTTATTTTGTCCCGAGCTTTAGCAAGGGACAAAATATAATCTAAAAATTTGAGAACCTTCGAGAATTTAACTCCAAAAACTTTATACAGGGTGTCCCACGAAACATGACAGTTAGTGAATAGTTTTAAATCTCTTTTTCCATAATTTGTTTAGTTCTTTATTATACAACAGAGATTAATTATCATTAATAAGAAGTATAACATATAGCGGTCATTTTATAGTAAAATTGTTTTCTTTATTTTATTGCATCCACACTTTTCGCGGAGAACATATTCTTGAAGTTGGTCACCCTGCCACCAGCAATGGCGTAACATCTGTTCCTTTCCCCTGACTCATTGCCAACAACCATAACAAGTCTTTAAACAAAAAAAATGTTAAAAACGAATAATTGATAAAATTATGACAAGTGAAAACCTATGGTGCAAGATTTAGCGTTGTATTATTACAGCTTAGAAATGTCACTGCTTAAATATTAATATTGTCTGATCAATTGATTTTAAATAGAATGGTAAACTTTAAAGCTTAGTTAATGCGTAAACACCCTAATTGTATAATTAAGAGTTTTGTTGTAAATTACTAATAAATTATGAGAAATTTTGATTTTTGGACTTGGGTCAAACCACAAATTATATATTTTACAACTATTCTACAGGGAAGTTCATGGAATTTTACTTTACCAATGGTTCGCAAGACCAAATTTAGCCGAGGGAACGCGTGGTGAAGTAAAAGTTTTGATAATATCGTAGAGAACGAGTTTTAAAAAACGCATACCAGACAATCTGAAGAAACCATATTATTTTATTCATTAAATTTCTTACCGTGCTATTTGGGGTTTCCAGTCGTTTCTATGTTTGTAGGTGGTGGGGGAGGGGGGAGCGATTGTGTACAACTCAAACTCAACAGTTATAATTAAATAAACAAATAGTAAAAAATAAATATAATAACTTGATATTCTAAAGAAAGTGAATAGAATTTCTTAAGGAGGGGGAGGGGGTGGGGGGCAACAAGGCATTCATAATTTTTTTTTTAGATTTCCCTTTTAATCTTTTTACCTTGCTGTCTCCCTAGATGTAATTTCACCCACTAGTCTTATCATCTGGTTTACCAAATCATCTCTTAAATATTTAAATAAACTTTACATACATTTGAAACAAGGGTACAGAGAAAATGTACATGGTGAGAATCAGAAAACTATGTGATAGGAAGACGACATTAAAGCAATAATCAAGTGTATTTTATGTTGTTACTAAGCAAATAGTTTTAATAGTAATATATTAAATCCCTAAATTGGTGAAATGGGTTTGTTTACACAGTGCACTGTGCATGTATAGTGATAAATGTTAATTAAAGATATAACTTTAGTCATAGTCGTTTTTTTTAGTATAAAAACATTGACATGTAGGGGTTGGGGGGAAGGGGAAATATTTAGCCAAATTTTGGTATTTTATATTTTGTTATAAAAAATCTTCGTTTTGCGTGATTATTTCTACTCATGAAAATAAAAATTACAGGACTATAATTTGCCTGCCTTTTATCTCTTCTTGCGCCCCTAATTTTTCAGAGTGGGGGGGGGCGTCCCCAAACTGCAGTCTCCGCCCTCCTCCTTTAGCTGTCTCTGACCAATTAATAATTTTTCCGAAAGAAGAATANGCTGTGGTGAAAATCAATAGTTGAGGAGGAGGGGGGTCTGGTCGTGTGTAACTAAATCTCAACTGTGGAAAGTGGGCTAAAGGGGGTTCCTGGTCAAATGTGTGGCTGTGGCCAGAAACGGATAAGAATTGATTTTTATTAAACTGTGAAGTTGGTGTCACTATATCTCTAATAGTCGATGTTTTAGAAATTGGCATTTCTTTATCTGGAATTTAATTATTTGAGATCTAGTTTTTGCCAGTCTATTATAGCCTAGTTTTTAATTTCTGATTTATTTCCATAAATTTTCTCATTTTTTCAGATAGGATGATATTACGGTAGCCTAGGATGAGCCTGGAACCTATTGTCGGGGAGATCCAGGGCCCAGTCTCCGACCAAGAGATATTTTCGGAACTAACGGAAAAAGAATTTGCCAGGAAAATAATTCGTCGACAAATTCAGGCTGATCAGAAAGAGGTTTTCCCGGACCCTGCTGGTCTGAAAAGTATATACCCGGGCCTGGTTGTTGAAAAAGAAAAGAAATCATCTCTAATTCGTGAACAAGAGTTTTTTCCATGCCATACCGCAGAGAGGCCCCAGGGCCCAAATATTGTAGAAGTGGATATGATGGGCCAAAACAAGGACTCTAGGCTAGTCCTGGACCCACTTGTAATAAATGAAGAAAGTTCTGGGCTAAATGGAGTTGGAACGAATACAAATATAATATGTTCAGACATTCATAAAAAAGAAGAATCATTTCTTAATACACACTTGGAAGGGAAATCTGGACAGATGGACTCAAATATTACTCAAAGGTATTCAATTAAAATGAACGGAAATGACACCCATAACCAGTAAATATAATAGCTGACTCTCATTTAAGCTATCTCTGATTGAACGAGAGTATATTTTGATTGGTCTGAGTCAACTTAGTTCTCAAAGGATTTAAAGAATACATTGAGCGCTTTCTGAAAGATAAAACAATGTAAAATTTCCAACCTCAGTACCTTCCATCTCGAAATCCACGAAATTCTATTTTGTTCTGTTTTAGTGAAGATTTATGCCGCGGAGGTTCCACTAATGCTGTACCAACACTAACGACCCCTACCCTCACCCCAACCACTCTTAGAAATATTGAACAGATGTTTGCAGGTGAGTTTATTTCTTATGTTCACTATTCCACTTATCACTGATATCCACCCGCTCTAGAACTGTCGTCGTCCTACTAGAAAGTTTTTTTAGGACAGCCTCCAGCAGAAATCAGATCTTATTTACCATGTCAATAAGGGGTTATTTAGTATATACAGGGTTATCCATAAAGGATAAGACTTTAAAGACAACTTGAAACTCTCTAGAAATGAAGATCCTAAGGTTAAGTTCAGTCACCTGTCTTATATAAACATAGTCTTTTTATGACTTATTCAATGATTTGATAAGTTAAGAAACAAGTTTACAATTGCCGGGAATCATGAATATCAAGAAATAGACAAGTGTAAACTCCATACAGTCGTCTCCGAAGTCTTATCCTTTGTGGGTAACCCTGTACCTCTATAAAACGTCACTTGGAAATATCGCCGACAAATGTCTTTAATCAGAATTTTTAAACAAATATTCTACTCCCCGTCATCATATGTTTAACCTACCACACACCCTGTTTAGAATCTGATGTGAGCCTACGTCCCTACCAACACGAAAATGCTGCGGGGTTTGTGCCACCAATTGTCAGGTACAGACTAAATGGGCGGGCTTAAAAAATATTACCGCATTTTATCATCATTTTCTAGAAAATCTAAAAAAATACTAATTAAGTTTTGATTTATTGTGTTGGAAACCCAAACTTTTTCATTTTCCCGTTTATTTTATTTAAAAATTAATAACTTTTAATGTTGGTAACTTTTTTTCTTATATTTTTTAATTTCAGCCCGACTTCTGGCCATGTCTACTTTCCTTCGAATGCCAGGTATGTATAAAAGTATTTTCAGTGCAAGCAGAGGGGGGGGGGGGTTAAATATTTGGGGAAAGAGTTTGCACTACGTGTATGCCATTTGATTATATTATATTTTAGTTCTGATGTGATGGTAAAGAGAGAAATCGATGACATTAATTCAGCCTCGGGTTCCATTTTCTCCCAACCTTTGTCTTTTCCTAAAATTCCAACTCTTACATTTTCATCGGCTCCGGAAAACCTATCCCGCCCCCGCTCTCTTTCCATATCAGCTGTTGGTGAAAACCTATCCCGCCCTCGTACTCTTTTAATTGCTTCCGTGGGCGAAAACCTAACCCGCCCTCGTTCCCTAGCCATTTCTTCAAATGGTGAACATCTATCCCTTCCTCGTTCTCCAGCCAGTTCTTCAATTGGTGAAAATCTATCCCTCCCTCGTTCTCTAGCCATTCCTTCCGTTGGAGAAAATCTGTCCCTTCCACGTTCTCTAGCCATATCTTCAATTCCAGAAAACCTATCCCGCCCTCGCACTCTATCCATTTCCTCTGTTGGTGAGAATCTGTCCCGCCCTGGTTCTCTTGCTATTTCATTGTCGGAGGAACCTACTCCCCGGCCTGCGTCACGAACTTTAAATCGTCCAACGTCTCTGACGATACCAAGCCCTCAGGAACTTATATACAATATTTAGTATTTGTTCAATGGCCTAGGTAGTTTCAAGAGACTCTTTCTCAACAGTACCATTTTAAACTTTGGAAGAATAGGAAAATTAGAGAAAACTCTCTTCAGATTTTTAGCAAGTCAATTTTATAGAGAAACCGTAATTGAAAACTAACAATTTTTCAGACTGAAAAAAGGCTTTATCATAATTTGTGCACAAACAAAGGTTTTAGCTTTTAAAGGTACTAATGTGAATTTAGCATACCTCTTTGAATGGAAGGTCTCTTTTAAATACGTCAACAGTCCCTTTAAGATTATTAAAAAGAATTAGAACTACTAGATGAAGATTGTGGAAGATAATGCCATCCATACCAAGGTTGAAAAAACCCCAACATTTTTTTGTATATTTGTATTAGAATATTTTCCAATTTCGGGAGCAAAGAGGATTGGGCGAGCAGGCGACGCCAGAAAATTTAACAGTGTCGAGAAAACAGTTATTATCTGTTCCTAAACCTACTACCCGACCCTCTCCCACTAAACCCTATTCTTCCCTACTCTCTCCCCGCCTCCCAACCATGCCTATGCTGTCTCCCCGTCTCCCTACTATGCCCCTGCTATCTCCCCGTCTTTCTACTTTTCCCCTTCTCTCCCCCAGACTATCTCTACCATCTCCTGTCTCCACCTGTCCTACTCTACCCTCTCCTAGTAGCGGCCTACCTGCGAAAAATATAGAATTTTTAGGTAATTTTTAATTTTCAAAATCACAATAAATGAATTTTTATTTGATTTGAAATATTTTAGAAAAAATCTTAAAGCTTGCTGGAGTATCTAGTCCTATGTTGAATACGCCTACAGTGCCACCGATAAGGTAGATAAGGTAGATAAGGTAGATAAGGTAGATAAGGTAGATAAGGTAGATAAGGTAGATAAGGTAGATAAGGTAGATCAATAAAATATAAAATTTGAACATTTTTAACATTTTGAAAAAATTTACCTTAAAATAATTTATTTTAACTATATGACACATTTGAAAACATAAAATTCGTTTATTTAAGTCCGGCCTTTGAGAGTAAACCAATTGCCGTATCTCCGCCAGGGTCTCCCTCTCCGCCCGGTCTTCCGCCGTTGTTTACTGATCCTGATGATCCGGCGGAGAATAATGGTAAATCCCCTCCGCCCTACCGGCGGATTAGTGGCGGATCAGACCATTCAGAACACTTGGAGGTATTTAAATTATTATAGAAATAAAAAAAATAATCAAATAAAATTTTATAGAAGATTATATTTGTTTAACTATTTCCGGATCCATGGTTCCAGAATGGATCTAAGATCCGCAATTCCGCATCCTTGGCACCTTTGTATTAGTAGATCTAAGATCCGGATCCTTAGAACCGCCGTTGATCTAAGATCCTTTGTGCTATTGTGGATCTACTATCTGGATCTTTGGTGCCAGAACAGATCTAAGATCCGGGATCCTTGGTGCTAGAACAGATCTAAGATCCGGATCCTTGCTTCCAGAACAGATTTAAGATCCCCTTGGTGCTAGAACAGATATCAGATACGAAGATCCGGAACCGTAACAACCTCATCATGAAATATAAATTATGTATATCTAGGATGATGATAAGAAACTACTCCGACGTGAGAGGAATAAACTCGCTGCTGCTCGTTGTAGAAAGCGTAGAACCGACCTAACTATGACACTACAGGTAATTATCTTGAATTGATTTAATCATGGATAAATTTTTATTTTTCTATAATTCATAATTTGATTTTTGGTTGTAAACATAGTTTTAAGACTTTCAAGAGTTCATCTTTGGTTTACTATCCCTTTAACCTTGATATAAGATACTATGTTGCAGGACGAGGTATTGAATTGGGAGCAGAAAGTGCGCGGGTTGAAGGAGGAGCTTATGGAGCTAGAGACCCAGAAACTTGGACTTGAGTCAGTGCTCAACAGGTTGTTTCAACTTTTTTTTAGATTTTTAGAATCCTTGAATGAAATCCATAACATCGTCTTGTATTTTAGGCACGCTGGCCCTTGCAAAGTCCGAAGAAAATCTTGATTCTTCCTATCTTTGATCCTGATCCTGATCCTGATCCTGGTCCTGGTGTAGTGGCCTGATCCTAATTCTGATCTTGATCCTGATACTGGTGTAGTGGCTAGATCCTGATCCTTATCTTGATCCTCTTGATCCTGACTTTGATCCTTGTGGAGTGGCCTGATCCTGATCTAGACCCTGACAATACAACTGTTCGATGTACAAAATAATTCTCTCTAAATTTCTTAAAACTGACAAAACAGTTGAACACAAGTAAATTCTGAAAAAAAGAGCTTATTCATGATTCCAACAAAACGAGTAAAATATAAATTCTAAAATTTATCATTGCACTAGATTATCCCAAACTTGATAAATTCTTTGCAAAAGGATTAATTGGTTGCTAGTGATATCAATGATATCAGTACTTCCATGATCAATGTTTACTTTCTTTAATTCGGCAGCTACCACTTCCCCATACAGAAACAGCCATTACCACTACTCTAACATAAAGATGCTATTTTTACTACTCTGGCATCAGCAGCTACTCGAAAAGAAGCAGCAACTCTAAGTGACAGGAGAGGTTGACCGGTTAAATTTGATGATACACCAACTAGTCCTCAATCTTATATCAATACAAATTAGCAATTTTCAGTTGGAAAATTAGATTTCTTTTTGAATATGAAATTTTAGTTCAAGATAAATATGCCAATATTGAAACTTAAGACTGTTGACATGTTATAAAGTCATATTTGTGTTTAAGGGGGGTTCATATTTTCCTAAAATTCTGCCTCCCTTCTAAATAACTAGTTAGCATTGTGAAAGGGACTGTTAACCTTTCATTTCTCGAATGGGATGTCCGATTCTCAACGATACCCTTAATAGCTTTGTCTGGATTAAGTAAGAATTATTTATCAATGTTTTTCTTCTTGAAAACTGATAATGTGACTTTCTACTGCAGAAAAATATTGAGGAAACTCAGAATTAAACACTTTATAAGCTAGAAATACGACGATATCTTCATTATTGTTGATTAGAAAAAGATGGTAAGACTTAAGAGTACTGTTGTTAATCGGACATAAATTAGATCCATGAAATTAATCTGTTCCAAGGCGGAATTCTGGGAAGTATGTTACCCTCGTAATTTTTATAGTAAATTAATTTTATCTGTGTGGATAGGTTTAGGGCCTAATCTTGTTCTCTATAGGAGGAGGTTTGTAACTGTAAATAGTGGTGTCAGGTCAGCCTCTGATAAAATATATTCGTTTATTAAACCTAGTTTGAATAGTTATATTCAATCAATTTCTGAGTTTATTATTTGTTACAGTTAAAATTTCAAATTAGAAAAATTTTAAATATACTTTATCTCTTCTGATTTGCCTAATTTTCATGAAATTTCAGTTTTTTAACAAATTTGGTATTTTTTATTTTCAAATTTTCACAAATTACAATACTTGAAGCTACTAGTAATTGATATATCTAAGTTTAGTAATATGTATATTTTTATTAATCAAATCTTAATTCAAACCAAGCAATCATTAAATCAAGAAATATCAGTCAGTTACTATTACTAACCCTGGGATTTTGCAATACCTTGCTATTGTTAAATGTTCTGTAATCTTAAAATGTATTAGCATTATTATTCTATGGACTTTTTTCTTTTTTTTAAAACGCTTTATGTTTTTAGAACCTCTTATCCTTATCTATTTTGGGTGAAAAAAAAATGTATGCCATCATTTTTCCGTCTTCAAAATGGAAAATTGTGCAATTTTACTCCATACTAAACCAATGTTTATGGTATGTATTTCTTAAATATGAACTATATAGTTCTCCTTTCCATTTATCTAAATTTTTTGGTACTATAATTCTACCCTTCGAATTTTTGATTATTCTTCACCATCTTGAGTTTCTCTACTATTTTGTTTTTCTCCGCCAACTTTATTTTCGTCCGCCATTTTGTTCTTCCTCTCACATCTAAAAATAAATTTAATCTAGTTTCAGAGGAAATGGAGGTAGAGGATGAGGAGAGACGGAAGAGAAGATTAAGGAAGAAATTGCTTCAGATTGAGAACCTTGAAATACTGAACAGACCCTTGAACCAGGAAGAGGAGATAAAGGTCGGGAAGAAAACACAGATTAGGGAGGAGTTACAAGGGCTGCTCAAAGGTACTATGGTTTCGAGGGGGGGGGGGGCAATTTTTTTTGTAAACAATGTTGTTTTAACTTTATGTCATGGTTATAATTAGGAAATATCCTACTAGTAAAAATTTTTTAAATTTGTTATTTTTCTTATTTTTTGGTAAGTTCAGAACTCATAATAATAAATATTTTTACTAATCTATATATAAATTTGGCTTGTCTGTTTGTTTGTCTGTTTGTTTGTTTGTATCCAATAAACGTCAAAACGGCTGAACCGATCGGGCCCAATTTTTTTGTGGGACATCTAGGGACCCCAGGGAAGGTTTATGAATGATTAAAATTTTAAATATTTGTCTCCATCAAAATTCGATCGTCATTAAATTTTTTAAAATTTTGAAAATCCGCGAAATTTTTTGTGAAGATCCGCGAATTATTTTTGTTTTGTTTTACGATGTACACAAAGAGAACATGTTCACAATTAATTTAGAAGATGGGCGCGAAGCGCCCTATAAGGCTAGTATTAAATATATTTTAGTTAATTTAGCAGCTGAGGCAGAGATGAAGAGAAGCCAAAACGTGGACCTGAGTAACACTCAACCAAAGGTGATGAATTTTAACAATTTTGTGAACAGTGTTCTTGTCTTTAGGGCACATTTAATTGTTAAAAACGTGTTGAAAAACGTTGTTGGATTTTTGATTATTATAATAAACTTGAAGAGACTGCAAGCACACTAACAAGTGAGTCTAGTTTTATAGTGTTATTTACTACAGTGACCTTTAATCCTTTTTCTAAGCTAAACTTGTGGAGGTATCCCTCTTTTTCTATCTAATAATTGATAATTTTCAATACCGGGTTCTCTCCATATACTAAGAAGTAGGAAAAGGATAAATTTTTCAGGAACCGACACTTTTCCTGATAGAAATAAGACAATATATTCCTCATTCCTGATCAAATACAAGTACCTTAGTAAATCAGACATGGCATTCTATAAATGGAGGGTCACTTTAAATTGCATTTGCAAAAACATAAAGATAATTTTTCTCGTATCCAGGTTCTTAGATTAGATGAGTCTGGTGGTCAATCATCCTCCCCTCCTCAGCAGACAACATCTTTTGACAAACAGACAACATCTGAGAAGCATACAACGACAACATCTTGTCAGAATCAGACAACACCCGTAAAACTGACAACATCCAGAGATGTTTCAAAACAGCCCACTTCTCAACAACAACAATCTACTTCTCAACAACAACAATCTACTTCTCAACAACAACAATCTACTTCTCAACAACAACAATCACAATCCACTTCTCAACAACAACAACTTCTCAACAACAACAATCTACTTCTCAACAACAACAATCTACTTCTCAACAACAATCCACTTCTCAACAACAACAATCTACTTATGAACAACAATCTTCTTCTCAAGAAAAACAATCTACTTTTCAACAGTCCACTTCCCAACAACATTTTACCACCTGTAAGCACCCAAAATCGTCACTACAGTAACTTCCAACAACAAAACCTTTGTTAAAACAACAACAACCGCTTTCACTGGAAAAATCCCACCAGCGTAAGTGACGTTTATAGTCTTCAGATTTAAATTTATTTTTGCCAAACCCCCAAATTGCCTCTAAATTAAATCTAACCCCCAGTATTATTAAGTTAGTATTAAGTTACTATTTGACCCCTTACATCAAATCACGGATAGGGGTTCATAGTAATTAAGACCCCACTTGTTTTACTAATTCTTAATAGTATTGGTAGCATGGCCCCATTTGGTCGCGCCAAGTTTTTGAAAATTACCAAAATTATTGGTTCTTAATGCGGTACATGCCTAAAGTTTAACACGGAAAAGCAAATTTAAACACCAAATAAAAGATAACGGTCGTGATGAAAACTCAGAATGAGGGAAGGAATTAAAACTCCAATCCATACGAAGGATGCCTCGAGCGATCCCTGTAAAATATGTAATATATATTATGATTTGAAATGAAATGTGTTGAATGATTGGTTTGCCAGGTGTACGAGGGGAACTACGGAGGAAATGGCGGGAAACCAAGTGGTGTGTAGAGGAGATGGAAGGCCACGAGGTACAAAGAGATGGAGTTTTTGCCACAAACGAAAATATTTATCCCTCTATCTTCGCGACTCGATGGTGTAAACTGTAAACCTTTGATATTTCAAACTTAGATTATCTGATTTAACAGAATTCTTCACTGTAAACTTCGGTTTGTTTAAAGTACAAGGCCGACATTTAAGCCGCTAGAGCAAGCTGTACAGTATACATACAGACATCCAGGCAAAACGGGACTGTACACCAAATGAATCAGCTCCTTCGAGTGAAATTTATGTATGTTAGCTTGAAATACTTAAGGTCTACGACATTGGGTTGCAAAGATATAAGAATTAAAAAATTCTTTTACAATTTACATTTTTCTTGATGTTCTCAATTTTCAGTGTTAAATGTAAAATAGGTAGAACAAGAACCTACGATGGGAATTGAAAATTTAGAAAACTTTCTTCTAGAAAGGGTGTTTTTTTCAACCACCTTTGTTTTAGGATTTAATACTTGATTGTGATATTGAGAAAAACCTGGGGTTAGTTGTTACAGCCAGCAGAGATACTTCACTTAGGGTAATTATGCTGATTAATTGATTGATGGCTTAAATTGATTAATTAATGGTGGTTTAGTAATTGATCGGTGGTGGTAATTGATTGACGGATTGATTGTGATTTAGAGTAATTAATTGATTGCGGTTTAGATTAATTGATTATGGTGATTTAGATTGATTGATTGATGGTGGTTTAATTTGATTTATGGTGGTTTAGATTGGTTTATGATGGTGGTTTATATGATTTATTGATTGTGGTTTAGATTGATAATTTGATTTACTTGATAGATATAAATCGTCTTTTTTTCAATGAATTATTTAATGGATGAGTTATATGATTTAAGGATTGTTTGACGGATGGAATATTTGATTGATGGATTTGTAAGTGAATGAGTTATTTGATGGATTTTCTGTTTGATGGGTAGATGGTATGATTGGTGGATTGATTGATTAACTGATTGAATGATTGATTGATTGATTGATTGATTTGTACTTACATAAGTGGATTTTTGATTGATGGATTTTTTGATTGATTGAATATGTTAAATGTGTTCATTAGTTAATGAAAAGAATGAGTAAAAAAGTTCGACATTTAAATGAATGTTACCGTTTTACTTTATAAATTTGATTACTGAGGTGTACATTTTCTTGGAAATAATTTACCCCTTGCCCCCCCTTCCCACCACCTTTCTAAAGTAATTTTTGTATGCTGAATTACAAGACATTTATGGGTAAAAAGTATAAGAATAAAGAAGCTAACCTTTAGATTTGTCATTTTTCCTCCAGAGCATTAAAAATCATTTTTAATTTTTGCTAATTTAGTCGAAACCAAAATCAACGAACTTTTCCTTTAATTGTTGAATAGAGAAGATTTTGTTCTCTAGGTTTGGGATTTGGAGACAGGATCTCAGATGCTCAGCCTGCGCGGGCATACAGGACCGGTCACAGGGGTCAGGTTTATAACCTGGACCGAGGGACACTCAGGCTCAGGGGACCAGAGGTATATATGTGATACTCAGTGATGCAAGTAGTGGGGAGGGTGCCTTCCTTCTCGGGGGGGCGTGGGAGGGGGGGTAAGAACACACTCCAAATCTGAGAATGATTCAAGAGAAATTTGAATGGAAAAATGTCCAGTGCTTAGGATCCATTTAATTTTTATGCGGATCCTGATCCTGGATCCGCACTCGAAAAAATGGATCCGGATCTGGATCCAGGTCATTTCTTTAAGATTTACTAATTTTTTTAACAAATAAAATTTTCAAATTTTTTGTTTCATTTTTTCGCTTATTTTTATCCTGAAACTTGATGAACCATTCAGAAATGAGGAAATTTTTAAAATCTCTCTTATTTAAAAAGTTCAGATTTGGTAAAAAACTGATAATGTTAATTTATTATTTTTTTATAACTTAATAAATTCGGAAGTTTAAAGTTTTACTTCAAAACATTTTCGCACCGAGCCCTATAATAAATGAATAATAAATAAATCAAAATAGCATCATTTTTAATAGAAACAATTGTGAAAATACTCATTCTTTTCTCTTGGAAGATTGAAAGAAAAACTATATTTTTCTAAAGATACAGCGAAACAATGAGTTTAATAAAGTTCTCTTTTTTGAAGTTCTTTTGATGACTGTGAGGATAATCTGAGTTCCAATGTTCAAAATGGACAGGTATTAAATTAGTAATTATACGGGTAACGATATCTTATTTTATAAATCTTTCTTGGTTCTAAGCGATACAACAAAAAATAAACAGTCAATAAAGTCATAGGGTTTCGCATAGAGTAAATTATTTATATATAAGAAAGCGTATATGTGGTTGATGATAACTAAATCTAATTACGTAATTTAGTAATTTGTGAACGCAATTTATTTCTTCAGTTCAACGAATAAGCCCAAAAACCTAACTTCTGAGAAATCAAAAATTTTCAAAGGGGGGAGGGAGTGTAGATTAGAAACACCGGACCACTACTGGAGTCTTACTCAACTTAAGATTTGGTTTGATTTGATTCAAGAAAATGTACATTGTACAACCTGAAGAAAGAACAAAGACAACGATATTTCCAGTTTTCTGGTCATTACAGTTCCTGAGTACAAAAAAAAATCAAAGTTGTATTTACAGACTGCATTATATGAACTACAGTTCATGAATATCAGGTTGTATGTGAATGGTCTATGTAAAGACTGCAGTATATAAACTACAGTACATGAATATCAGGTTGTATGTGATTTGTCTATGTATAGACTGCAGTATATAAACTACAGTACATGAATATCTAGGTTGTATGTGTAAGTGTGAGTACGGACTGCAGTATATAAACTACAGTACATGAATATCTAGGTTGTATGTGTAAGTGTGAGTACGGACTGCAGTATATAAACTACAGTACATGAATATTTAGGTTGTATGTGTAAGTGTGAGTACAGATTGCCGTATATAAACTACAGTACATGAATATCTAGGTTGTATGTGTAAGTGTGAGTACGGACTGTAGTATATAAACTACAGTACATGAATATCTAGGTTGTATGTGTAAGTGTGAGTACGGACTGCAGTATAAGACTCTGGTCCTTGGAAAAGGGTTTACAGATTTCCTCAATATATTCCTATAATGGAATAGCAAAACTAGAAATATTACGATCACAACAGGTACTAAATAAAAAACAATAGATTTATTAATTTGAAATGATTATTTATTTTAACTGAAACAAATTTAGACATCTTTGTATCTTAACTTGACCTTTATTTCCACGGAATGGTGTTTGACTGTATTATTATTAGTGTAGTATATCTGGTAGTGAGGGGGGTAAGCTAGAGATATATAATCTCAATACTGGAACCTGTACAACATCTCTACTAGCTCATCAGGATACAGTTTCTGCTTTAAGGTGTGTTACCACTTGTTTCATTTATCATGTTTGTATTTTTTTTGTGATATTGATAATTTTGTTTCAATTTTCAAATTCTGTGAAAAAAAGTGAAAGGCCAAAATTAGCGTCGGTCGATACTTTTTCAACCCAATCTTGGGGTTTTTTCTCATGCAACGAAGGTAAAGAAATTTTGAAATTCTTTTTCCTATTTTTTTTTGTTTCAGTATAGATAAGAGTTTAAATACCCCTTCACCCTACTCAATTAACAAAAGTTCATATTATATTTTTAACCATGATTTAGATGAATCAAAAATAGGTGTTATTTAGTTCAATCTTTTTAATAAGATTATTTTTTTTTAGTTTTTAGGAAAAAAAACTGAATTTTAGCTCAACAGTTTTTCCTTAATAATTTGATACATTTACCCCTTTTTTTCTGTGAGGAAAAATAAATGATTGAAACCTATAAAAACTTTGTGACAAAAATGGGAGGAAAATTCTTTTTCATGAAAATATTTACCCCTTGAAAACCCTTTGTTTAGTGTGTTGGAGGGATCGGAGAGGATCTTGGCTGCATCAGGTTCTACAGATGGGATTATTAAAGTGTTCCAGGTAAACCTTTTATGTGTTTTTTTACGAAGATTTTCGGGGAAATTGAAAAATTTGACTTCAGACAGGCAGGTTTTCTCCCCCTTATGAAGACGTAGAAAGGAAGTGATTTTAAATCTAGTACAAACCTCTGAAACTTTTTTATGCATTGGCATAAATATTTAGATCATTTTTAGAAGTCCAGTTTTCATCTTCAGAAAAAGGTGTATATTCCCAGGGTTTTGTTTAAAAGCAAAGTTTGGCCTAAAATCCGAATATTTGTGTGTTTATACTGGTAATCTTAAACGTTTGAGCTCGATATTCAATGCGGAAACTTTTGAATTTGAGGATGAATACGCGTTTTCCTCAATTTCAGTTTTCCCTGAGGAGTGAGGGTATAACCATCATGATAGACGAATTTTTAAATCCGTAATTATGCACAAGATTAAAAAACACAGAGATTCTGTCTTCCTTTTTTACTTTGAAATTATCTATATATTTTTCTACATTGTGAGAGTAAAACCTTTTTTTGCCAGTTTGGACAATTTACATATATTTTTCTTGTTATTGTTTTTCTTCTTCTTATTTTTATTCCTTTTTTACTGATTTTATAGGTAGAAGAAAAAGGTTTAAGATGCTTGTACGTATCAGAGAATGTTTCTTCACCGTCTCTCTCTATCCTTCATCCCCGACCTATCTATTCTTTACATATTGATGGTTAGTTTTTATTCAATTTTCAACAACTTATTCGATTTTTATCGATGTTTATTTTTGTGCCAACTTAAATAATTTGTTCCATGCATATTGCATTTCGATGGCTAAATTTTATCTTAGCAATCTAAATGATTTATATCGATGGTCATTAAAGTCAATTTTCAAACATGCATATTGCATATTGCTACTCATCATTATTTATTTATGTGGATTTTTTTATAACTTAATTTTATAACTTGTTTTGTTTCCCTTATTTGTTTTGTTTTATTCCTGAATTTCCAATATTTTCGTTGCTTTGATTTGTTTTTGTTTAAATTTTTAACAATATAACATTTTCTATTTTACATCTTGATTATCAAATACTAAAAAACAAAGATCGTCAGTAAATCGGGAAATAAAAAAGAAAAAAGGCCATTAAAAACGAAAGTTCCTGAAATTTTGAGAAATTAAAAATACAGGAATACAAGATCATGAAATATAATCGAATGGTTAAGAGCACGAGACTATTTTCTATGGAGACAATGGTCCGAATTTGAAAATGTTGATCTGGAAGGACAATCAGGAAAGGGAATCCGCCATTTTTAGATACACAAAGACGACATTAAACGATTTGGTCTAATTTGATAGAATTGTAAAAGCATCAGTTTTTGTCTAACGAACGCAATTTTGCTCCGAACTCTACTCTACTATGAGAAAGGTTTTATTTCCTATTGGGTATAATATTTTTATTCATCTAGAAACAATTAAATTCGCAAAACAATTTGAATAGCGACAAAGACGACATTCCCGGTGGTACAGGTGGTAAAGTTCTCTAATCATCTGGCCGAACAGGGCTTCACGGACGCCTTGGCAGGAGCTGAAAACCTGCTATTTGCTACTTCCTTTGATATTGATTCTGGGTAGGAATGTAATTTCATGGAAACGCATAAAACTATGAAAAAGGATTACGACATTTATAATCTTTTTTGTAGTTAATTTTGTTTTAATGCAAATGGTTTTGCCAATAGCTTGAAAATCTACTTATTAAGCGAAATGGGTTCGTTAACACTGTACAGTGTACTGTGGGGGTAGTGAATTTTAAAATTTCATCACAGAATGACGGCAATAGTCAATTCTTGAGTAAAATTCAATTTGTTACCTGACTGGCACTGCACATTTTGGCCTTTATTTCTCTTTTTCTGAGATCTGTGATTTCGCAAAAACAAGCAATATGCTTCCAACTATTACAGCACTAATCAATTCCTATGTAAAAAGCAATTCTAGGAACAATTTCTTGTATTACATTTTTTTATTTGAGGTCGTCTTTTAAGCTTATTTTGATCCTTGAATTATTTTATAAACAAATTATAACGTCAATCTGTTTCTGGGTGAAACAAAAGGGTATAAGCACATTATCAAAAATCGAGAATTTTTTTCGATGTTAATTATACTAAGGTAAAAACGATTAATATTAAAAGATTCTTAAAAACCTATATTTGATTAAATCTAAAACATCTTCTCCGTAGAAATGTTCCAAAAAAAAAATCAAAAAATCCGCAAAATAGTTTTAAAAACTTCGCAAGTTTATCATTTCCAAGATCATACATATTTCTGATCTGTTCCTACGAAACTTGTTATTTGTGTCTGGGAAGTTACAAGAAGAGGATAGAGATGCTTCTACCGTATCTTAAGACGCTGAAGCTCGAAGGATCTGAGGTAAATCTCCGGCAAGTTCTTCGCCGTTGTAGGGTTGAATCTCTAAGTATTAACTGGGTTTCTTCAGTCTCTGGATTGTATGATGACAAGATCTGTTTATCTGCTTTAAAGAAGTTGGATTGTGCTGGAGCCGAACTAAGCGATGATGAAATACCTCTTATTCTTCAGAAGTGTCACAAGCTGCAATATCTTGAAGTGACATGTACGGCTTTTTCGGGAGAGAGTATGCTGCACTACAATGGAAGTTTGTCCCTGAAAACTCTAATCTGCTCTAACTGTGAGTGTCAAATGAGGGTTTGATTAGGTTTCTTCAATGGTGTAAGAAACTTGAGCACCTAGACATGAGTGAAAATGAGGCGCTCAACATTGATCTAGTTAAAATTATCAAGATAATACCTGGGCTTACTTTTATCAATGCCAGCATGACCTCCATCACAGCTAAATCGCTGAAGTTTTACAAAGGTCCGCAGCCAGTGTTACAACATCTTAATCTAAGCTACTGTAACCGATTAACTGATGAAGACTTGCTTGACATATTTAATGTATTTGGTAATTCTCTTAAATACTTAAATATAAACTATTCTGATGTCACTGGTAGAAATCTGTGCGAAATATATGGACCTTTGCCTTGTTTGGAAACATTCCTGTGCGGCTGCACCAAGTTTGAAGATACAGGAGTTCGTGCATTATTAGAAAAGACAAGAAGTACATTGCAGAATCTGGGGGTTTTTCGTACAGAGTTAACAGAAGGATACAGAGAAGAGATCAAACGAGAGTTTCCAAGCCTGATCCTAGACCGTGAATATAGAGTTGATGAGTTGTGGATTACTGAATAAATAAAATGCATTAGTAATGAATAGTTAATTAGTTAAATAATTAATAAATAGTCCTAACAACGATAATATACTGATGATTAAGTGTAGAACTGAGTAAACATGAAGGAGAGGGAATATCTTGGGAGCATAAACATCACAAACTGGTTCCTGTGATGAGTGTTTAGTAAAGTCAATATTTATGGTTCTTGTTTATAGTCATTAGTATAGTCATTATTTATACGTTAACGGGTTTATAAACATAATTCGCATATTTCACTAAGGATTATTAACCGACAGAATCACTCCATGTTATGACGAAAAAAATTAGAAATTGCTGAAAAGAACTGATTTCATATTAATATGTAGTTTGGACCCGCCTAACAGGAGTAGAGTGTTTTTATAGGTTGGCCCATAATGGGGTCCAAGTTGCGTTTGTACTGCGAAATAGCAGATCTGAGAAAAAAGATAATAGGCCAAAACTTGCAGTTTCAGTTAGCCAGCAAAAACGACCTCAAATGAAGAAATTTTAAAAAAGAAATTGTTTTTTAAAATGGGTTTTACCATATGAATTATTTTAAGTAAATTGCATTTTTCTTGCAAATGCATTCCCCTCTACTGTACAGTGTATGCTGTATATCTATGTTCTATGTTAGACTATTTTTAATCATAATTTGAGTCTTTTAGTCGTCTTTCTTTTCAACAATTTTATGGGCCAAACTTTATTATAGATTGAATAGATTTTCCACAGTTTAAATCATTCGATATTTACATCTTCAAAAAAAGTTTCATATTTGATCTCTCTCCGACCTTGCCGATATTTTTCCCCTGACTTTTTAGCACACACATTTAAAATCTTACGTCAGGTTTTAACGCTTTAGTGTTATATATTCTTAATAATGGAATCAAATAAACATGTTAGTATTTAACCTGTCAATTAAACACTCGCACTATTCTTTTTCAGGAAAATTTCAAATCTTCCTCCAGTGAATTTGTTTGTCCCAATTTGATATTTTTGTTAGTCATAACTTGTATTATACCACATTCTTATTGGATTTACTACATAGCCAAATATAAATGGACATGAAAAAATGTTTATACGAATACCTTTTATGCCCCCTGTCCTCTGTCTACGCCCCTGATAAGATAAGGGGAAAGAATTAAGCATTTTCCCTGTTCCTTATTGATTGAAAGAATACAGGTGCAAAGTTATTATCCTTTACCTCTATTATTATAAAAGTTATTAAAAATTACTGGTCCTTTCAAGTTAAAATAAAAGTTAACAATATAATTCTGGGAATGTATTCAAATCCGTCAAGAATGTGGCTGCGCCTTTCGTTGAAATCAAAATTATTCCACGGGTTTTCTTTTAATATTATAACAATAATTTTGATTATTACACTTTCTTCCTACGTATAATATACTATTATATGGCTATGTTTAGGTTTGGTCTGGTAAACCTGTGTCTAGTTGGAGGTTCTGGTATACCCCAGTATATTGTTTAGGTTTGGTCTGGTAAACCTGTATCTAGGAGGAGGTTCTGGTATACCCCTGTATATTGTTGAGGTTTGGTCTGGTAAACCTGTATCTAGTAGGAGTGTCTGGTATACCCCTGTATATTATTTAGGTTTGGTCCGGTAAACCTGTATCTAGTAGGAGGGTCTGGTATACCCCTGTATATTATTTAGGTTTGGTCTGTTAAACCTGTATCTAGTAGGAGGGTCTGGTATACCCCTGTATATTTATCTAGTAGGAGGGTCTGGTATACCCCTGTATATTGTTTAGGTTTGGTCTGGTAAACCTGTATCTAGGAGGAGGGTCTGGTATACCCCTGTATATTGCAACATTATCACAAGATGAAACTACAAGGTGAGTTTGCTCTTATCTCTCATATTTTATTGTTCATTGTTATATATTTACACATTTCTGATTCAGTAAAGTTTTTAAGGTACATAGTCTAAATGATATATATTTCCAAACCCTATTTTAGTGAGGGGGTTTTCAGCCAACATTTTTGCATAGTTAAGTAAAAGTAAACTTTAATGATAATAATTTTCCAATACCTATTTATGTGAGGATTTTTTCTGACAACATTTTTAAAAACTATTTCCAAACCGCTTTCGTAGAATATCTGTATTGCGAAGCGTATCCATCGAGGGAGAAATAGTGCTTATAACAGGAGGGAAACAATTACAGGTAATGGATTTTTTTTTGGGGGGGGGGTCAAAAGGGGAGGTGGTGTCGAGAATGGAGGTGGGAGGGTTACGGGTGTTAAATATCAATTAGATCTTTATGGGTTTAAATACCCTGATAATAATGGGGTTTATGAATAGCAGTGTTATGAATAAATAAAAATTTTACTTAAAATTTTTGTTCTTAAGATTTGGAAAAGTGTCCGAAGGGAAGAAAACATGATTAAAACTAAGGATGTAAGCTCTAGTATTCAAGGTAACAAATTAAATCCGAACTTTGTATTTTTGTCTGTTTTTCAAATATGTTAATATGCATAATATTTACACGTAGAATATTTTTGATTAATATTATATAATAAGCTGTAAAAATTTTTTCTTCAGGTTTTATATCTTTTCAATCATCTTATACATAATTTATTGTTTTTGATAAAAAGCTTGTTTAAAAATGCATTTTAAAAGTGATCTCACACATGTTAATATAAGGCTGTGTTCTGTCCTTGAGACCGGAGGCTGTGGATAGTGAAACATATCTCGAGGACTCGGAGGATGAAGAGGCTGATATATCAAGAGACGAGGCAGAGGCTCCGATGGGAGATGATGGGGGAACAGCCTCGCAGATTTCTAAACCCGGCTCAGGATTTTGTAATTGTACGCTTATGTAAAATTGATTCCGTGGATCATAAACATTATACAATGTACATTGTACACTGTACGGTGTATTTTCTTCCAGCGTGATATTTTCGTCTTAACAAGCTTAAAAGTTTAGAAGAGATAGATCAAAATTATTAGGAATCTCAATAATCCCGTTTTGGTGGATAGCATTTTTTTAGTAAAAATTCTGTGATCAAAATTGTTCTCTTCTTTGAAATTCATTATGTGTTAAAGGGCCATTTTGAATTGCCACCTATTTATGTGCCTTAACTTTTTTTGTTAAATTTATATAATTTCAGAAAAACAGTTTCCCAAATTCTTGGAAAATGCCGAGTATTGACGGATCGAGTGGTTCGAGTGGTCAGAAGCGCCAGGGTCAGGGACAGGGGCAAGGACCCCTTCGTCGCCTGAACCCCGAATCTGTGGCCATGGTAATTCTTTTACTCAAATAATAAAACTTCTGATTTTTTTTGTTCCCCTCCCATCCCTTTTCTCTTGAAACAATCGTTTTTCAGGGTACATGTTGTCTTTAAAAATATTTGTTTTCTATTCCCTCCCCTTTTGAAAGTAATTTTTCGGACTGTTTTTCCTAGCTTTATTCGCTTAATTGAGTAAAATAAATAATTTTAGGGGAAAATAAATAATTTTAGGGGAAAATAAATAATTTTAGGGGAAAATAAATAATTTTAGTGGAAAATAAATAATTTAAGGGGAAAATAAATAATTTTAGGGGAAAATAAATTAATCTTTTGGGTAAAAATTATCTAAAACGGGTGAAAGCCTACCTTTTTTGTCCAATGTTACAATTAATGTATTTTCACCCTTGAGAATTATAATAATTGTCGCTAGGCTCGGCGCCTCAAGTATCGGGTTCGGGGTGGCCGAATACGGATCTGTCGGCAGGCCTAAACAATGGTAAGGAAAAATTACAATTTTTTATGCGTCAGTTTTTTTTTGGTTTTTCACGAATTAAATGTATAAAAATGTTCTACTTTTTTAGTAAAATGAAGAAGAAAAAACTAATGAGAATTGGCACCAAAGTTAAGTTTTCGGTCCGAAGATGATATCTGAATGTATCATTTACTCTCAGACTAATTAAAATCAATAACAATTTAAACCCCCAAGAGATTCTATGTTAGATCCGAAAGCGTAGACCCAGGGTTTATCATTGAATCTTGATTGTTGCATACCAAAAAAAAACAGCTTTTAATAAAGGAATGTATTTTTATCTTTTTCAGGAAGAAATCCAGTGCGAATTTGGGTGCTCCAATTCTAGGCCATAGAGACACCCTTAACATCGTAAAGAATGCAATTAAAATCAAACCTAAACCAAATTCAACGAATAATCCATATTTTTATAAAAAAAATACTATCTTGGACCCAAAGAATGAAAATAATGTTAGACCTGAACGTTTATCAAAACAAGATGATGTTAAAAAAGAAGAAAATGATGAAAAAGATAATGCTCCATCAAATCTAAATCAACTAATGAGACATGAAGAAAGCGGCTTAATATTTTGGAATCTTCCTTCAAGTAAAAATGTTAAAAATGTAAATCAAGAAATCTCAGAATATGGTTCTGGTAAAACTAAGTTACTAGTAGCTAAGTTATCTGATTTACTAAAGGATAAAGTGGTTTCTTCTTCCCAATATCCAAACTCAGAACCAGACAATAAACAAAATGAAATTGATATTGATGTATCTGAAGATCAGATTGATGTTCAGATTATTAATGATGAAGAAACGACTGGAAAGAAAAATGAAAATAAGATTACAGAAAAATATGAAAATAATCGATATGAGGAGTTTGAAGTGGGAATGGGTCCAGTCCAATCCAGTATTATAGTGTTAAATTATCTTAACAAAAAATCAATTAACGGACCTAGTGATGTTATAAATGAGTTTGATCTTTTAACGAGTGAATCAACCGCACTAAATAATATGGATACTAGTAACACTAATAAAGAGATTAATGAGGAGGATAAGGATATGTCTATGAAGTGGAGTGGAGATATGAAGGAAGAACAAGCTTCTTTTAATAGAATAAACAAAGAATCTGTTCAAATAAATGGAATGGATATCATGCAGGAAGAAATGAACGAAGGTTATAATTCTAAAAAGAAAAAAATTGAAAAGGTTTCTGTAAGTGGAAAGATAAGTGAAGAAATAAATGGTATTTCTTCTCTTGCATCCGAGGGAATGAATCCAATCACTCTAACTGTTCCGGTCATTGAAGAGATAAATGTTATCAATACTATTCTATCTGATGAAATGTTTGATGTTACTGTTCAAGAACAAAGTAGTATTACTTTCCCAGCAGTTACAGAGCAAAGTAATGCCAATGTTACATCAGTTGCTGAGCAAAATGATGTTAATTTTCCATCTGTTGCTAAGCTAAATAGTGTTACTTTTCCATTAGTTGCTGAGCAAAATAGAGTAATTATTCCATCAGTTTCTGATCTAAATAGTATTACTTTTCCATCAGTTGCTATACAAAATAGTGTTACTATTCCATCACTTGCTGAGCAAATTAGAGTTGCTGAGCAAAATGGTGTTACTATTCCATCACTGGCCGAGCAAAATAGTGTTACTATTTCATCAGTTGCTGAGCAAAATAGAGTTACTATTCCATCACTTGCTGAGCAAAATGGTGTTACCATTCCATCACTTGCTGAGCAAAATGGTGTTACTATTCCATCAGATCCTGAGCAAAAAAGTGTTTTTATTGAATATATTATTGAAGATACAGCAGATAAACTCCCAACTGAGAAAGATACTACGGAAGGTATCATGGAAGATATCATTGAAGTTTCACAGGATAAAGTAACAACTGAAAACGCTGAAATGGGAGATATCATGAAAGAATCAAGAGATATAGATGATAATTATGCTTCTTTTGAATATAATATCGATGTATCTAATGTAAGTAATACTGTCAGTTCTATGTTAATTACAACAAATGAAGTTGTGGACAATGAAGACGAGGTTCTAGTATCGATGGATAATAATTATTCTAAAAGAGTTGTTGTTGCTGAAGATGGTTTTCTATCATGTGATACAGGATATTCAACAGAGAAGGAAAGGATATCTCCTGAACCTCTGGTGTCAGATCTAGATCAAGACAGGTTTGTTGTCTGCTCCACCCAGGCAAGGACCAGCTCCCAACCAGATCATGAGACTGAGATGATTGAGATCGGAACCATTCAGAGCAAGCACTTCTTCGTAGAGAATATCGAACCTAAGAAGACAGTTTCTAATAGGAAAATCCAATATTTTATTCAACATTTTTAAATTACTTTTTCTGTTATTTGCAGATGTACTGACGTTTTTAACCCCCCNTTTCCACAATCCACATAGTAGCGAAATGTATCGACATGTTTTATTAATAATAATTTTCTGAGATATTCAGAGGAATTAATAGATCAGTTTATTTATGTTAAAAGGTACGTTGATGGACTTTTTTATCTGATATGATTTTACAAAAATTACAGTGGGACCAATAAAAATGTGGAAAAGGAAGACGAGCTATTTGCTTTAGAACAACACATAAAATTGCTAAAATTTCGTCCTTCTGTATTAGTTCGACTATATAATATTTTATTATTGGTGATTGATTGTCAGGAATTTAAAACAGCAGATCCGAAAGATTGCTAGGCAGGATAAGGACAAGGTTGTAATACTAGGAGTTGGGAGAAGATCAAGAAGGAAGAACCCCCCCAGCTATTCTCAGGTCAAACAAGATGAAGAGGAGGAAGACGATTTAAAACCTAGAAGCCTTGAAGGTGTTAAATGTAAAGCTTTTAGACTTAAAAAGTAAGTTTATTTAAAAATATTTTGAAATAGAATAGGTCCTGGGCCACAAAATTAAATTCACATGTGAATATTTTACTGAAACATCAAAAATTAAAGATTGAGTCATATTATTCTAATATTTAATGTCAAGTGACATTCCAGTTAAAATTTTAATTGAGTATCAAGATATAATCGTTTTTCTAAAGGGTGTCTAAAAAAACGGGGAATAAGGGTCTACAGACACGATTGTAATAGGATGTTCAAGATTAAGACCATTTTTAAAACCTACTTACAATTTCCGATTCAATGAGCCCAATTTCAGGCTTTTAGATCTAAAAACAGCAATCTTAAAGGCTTCCAAAGTTTCTAACTGGAGTGAGTAAAGGTAAAAATTAAGATAATCTCCGTTTGCACATAAGGGTCTATGCAGACTTTTTTGTAAACGGATTTTCAAAATTTAGACCAATTTTGATATCTACAATTTCCGATTCAATTAGTCCAACTTTTGGCTTGTAGACCTTAAAATAACAATTGTACTGTAATAAACTGTAATAAACTGTAATAAACTGTAACATAACATTGAATATAAAATTCAAACAAACGGAGATAATCTTTTACTTTTTTACTTTTTTTTTTTTTTACTTTTACTTCGCTCCAGTTGGAAACTTTAGGAGCCTATAAAATTGTTGTTTTAGATCTACAAGCCTAAAATTGGACTCATTGAATCGAAAATTGTTTGTAGATTACAAGCAAATCTGTAGACCCTTAAAAAAATTGTGCAAACAGATATTATCTTATTTTTACCAAAATACTCAGTCCAGTTGGAAACTTCAGAGCCTATAAAATTGTTAATTTTAGATCTACAAGCTTATTAAATCAGAAATTGTACGTACATATTTAAAAATGGTCTCAATCTTGAAAATCCGATTACAAATGTGTCTATAGACCCTTATTCTCTCGTTTTTTTAGACACCTCGTATTAAATAATACATTTTGTCAATTTAATTTTTTGGCTGTATGGATTGGATGTAGAGATTAAAGTTATCCTTTAATGCATATTTTGAATAAATTGAAATTAAATTAGAAATCTATGGATTTATGGAACTGTAGACGCATTTTTCAGTGGTACTTCATTTAAAGAGTGTCACGACTGGCTCACCACGAAACTCTTTATTTACTGTTGTCTGAGCAATGAGCACAAATGACGAATTTTATAGTTTTTTTTCTGTCAGGAAATTGATTCCAGTATGGACTTATGAAGTAGAGAGAAGGAATGAAATTTACAGAATTATATACGTTTCAAGATTTAAACAAAAGGTTTTCTTCCTCTTTGCTGCTCGGTCGTTGTCCATCAGGGATGCAACTCTTTGTTTGGGGGGATCATTTGATATTTCGCTAGCAATCCCTTTAAAGAGAAAATATTTCAGAAAGTGTAAGGAAGATTTGTTGGTCAAAGAACTGGACCAGCTGAAGATCTTGAATCAACAGCTGAAGAAGAGATTAGAGGAAATAAGTAATCAAGTAAAATCCTTGACCAATCTCTACATCAGGGCGATCCAACGAGGAGATGTGGTTTGGAAGTCGTCTTTACCCGATTATGTTACTGGGCAGTAATTTAATGATTTCTTGAGTGTCTCTAAAGTTCCCTCTGGCTCTGTTCATTTGAATTTAATGTGTATATTTATTGGGAATCTGTTTAATATCGTATTGTAAACCACTCTGCACATAATCCAGTTAATTTTGTTTGTCAATTATTTTAATAAAGAATTATATTTCCGTGCATTAAAATGTTTTTGAACCAAGACAATTTATGGCTGAGATAGGAAAACTCATCGACAGAGAAAGAAATATGTATATCTTACATTTTTTTCCATGAAATTTTCATATTTAGTATTTTTGTAACATTTTGGAATATTGTCTTTATTTGCTTGGAATTCTACATGGTACCACAAAAAATTCCGCGAAACTTGAAAAATGAAAGAGAAGAAAAACAAAGGTGTGATAATAGATAATTGCTATCCATTCCTAAAATGTCGTTAAGATCGGTCTGCCCAAATATGAGATATTAATAAGAATCTTCAACATTTTAAGGAAATAGATTTGATTTATTGTTCAGTTTTACATAAAAATAACACAATTAACAGTTGCACATTAATTTAAATGTACTCTATTCTTTCGGTGAAATTTTCCCCACGAACTTTCCTGATGCGATTTTGCGAAATATTATCGAAAGGAAATTTCATATTCAGGAGATTGATTGGAAGAAAAATTCATTGAAGTCATTGAAAGAGATCTTCGTATACAGGTAGGGATGTTAACGTTTTCATTTTTCAGAAAAACGATCGTTTCGTTATGATAACGACGACGAAAAATCGAAAACGAAACGATTGTTTTTAAAAACGATCGTTTTTTAAAAAGTTCGTTTTTTTAAAAATGGTCGTTT